CACATGTAACATCTTTCAATGGATAGTGTTAAAACCCACTCTGCCCAGAAACCCTTAAATCACATGTAACATCTTTCAATGGGTAGTGTTAAAACCCACTCTGCTCAGAAACCCTTAAATCACATGTAACATCTTTGAATGGATAGTGTTAAAACCCACTCTGCTGAGAAACCCTTAAATCACATGTAACATCTTTCAATGGATAGTGTTAAATATATTAGCATGGAGAAAACAGAGGATATAAATAGCTAGAAATTATCAGTAATGTGGAAACTCGTATGTCAATAAAGAACATAAAAAATCACTTACGTTGCTGTCGAGGTAGCCGTTACTATCAGTGTCGTAAAGCCGAAACATAACTGTAAGATAACAATATGTAAATATGAGCAAACTCAGCTTGCAGAATAACAAACGTATAAGTGAATTTATTCCTTCAACACAATAACAACCTTAAAATTCAGTTCTAATATTCAGTTGTAGGCAGTTTTAAGCCACAGTCGGTTTAGGTTGATTAGGAGAACTGGCCAATGAATTCAGTGGTTACTTAAGTATGTTGCTAAATTAACCAATGACTTTGAATCTATTACTATGATTAACCAATAATCACGGAGCTGGTTGAAGAATTAACCAATGAATAAGGAGTTGAGTTGGGGTTATTGATAGCAGGAACTATAGTGGACCTAGAACTGATTTAAGCTTGTTGCTAAAATCAACCAGAGAAAATGGAAATGGAGAATGGTGGACAAACAATATTAGTCCATGGGACAAATATGGCCGCCGTGCTCAATAACAGTATGAAAGAGGTATATTTTTTTCCCTTGGAATTGATCGAGAAATATGAGCGATGTTGCCAACAAATAAACTAAGATGAACTGTCTGTTTAACCTGTTTATTCGTAGGTGGGGTCTTTCAGCTCTTAATCTGATTTCTGGCGCTCCAAAAACAAGAGGTCATGTTAGTTCCTGACCTTGTATGCCTGATTTTATAGAATCTTTCATTGAAAGCATCATAGCAATGAAAATTGTGCATAAAAATTGTTTAAAAATCCAGTTAAGGTGATATTTTAAAAAATACGTACATATAATACATGACTTGAAAGGAAATTTATTCCATCTTTATCCGATATCCTACGAAGTACACAAGAAAACTTACATTCAAGCTTATCTTCTGGTCTTCCAGCTTCCAGAAGCGACAGATAACAAACAATATCTTTTAAAGGAACTTGTAGCGCGTGGACATCCACAAGGCTACCTGTCTTCCTTAAGTCGACTTAGAAAAGAACAATAAACCATCTGAATCAAACAGTTTCAAATCTCTACAGTAACATTGAAATAATTTACTATTACAATAACAAATTATCCTGCAGCGTTATATCATCAACCGTTCATTTTGTTCTTTCTTGAATTTCACCCAAAGCTACCAAGAGGCTATCTACGCTAGCTGTCCTTAATTTTGAAGCGATAGACTAGAGGGAAGGCAGTTAATCAACACCACTCACCGCCATTTCTTGGGGTACTCTTGTCAGATCGAATAGTGGGAATTGACTGTCACTCTTGTAATGCACACACGGCCCCAAAGTGTGGATTTCTATGTTTTTATTATTTTGTTTTGGTGGTAACGAAGCACGAACCACGGAACCCCAGATCCGCAGTTCGATAGGCTAACCACAAGTTCATTGACGACATGAACTTATATTGTACAGATATGTGCTTGTTATTTAGCACAAAACTATGTAATGAACTATCTGTTCTGTGCCCATCGCGAGTATCAAAACCTCATTTTTAGCGTCATAAGCCCCCAGACTTACCGTTGAGCCACCAGAGGGCACAGATATTGGATACCTTTATAACTTAGACATGGTGTCAAAATGTTTCATATGAAATATCGTAAGGGAAACGCTTTCATAACCGTAACGTTCTCCTATCCGGACAATAAAGCTTTTACTGTCTGTTGCAGCAAGAGTAGCTATTCCGAGAATGGATTTTAGCATAAAGCTCTGCCCACCACGGGTATCGAGACCCAGTTTCTTGCGTTGTAAGTCCACGGACATACTGCTGGGGGGGGGGGGGTATTTGTAACGATACGCCACGTGTTATCCGAACATCTAAAGTATGTTAGGTTATTAGAGATGCACGTGAAGACTAGACATCACAGCTAAACAATCAACTTTGTCAAATTTTCGTGAGAAAAATTTCCTTTAGTACCTCAGTCGTTAGCTTTGAAAGGTACGAGAGATTTAGAACCAAACGTTTGTTACTTGCAATTTGATACTTTATTGAATATTTCATTTTATTAAGAGCGTAGCAAATACTTTAAATGTCAGCAGCTTAAGTCTTCAAAACAATAAATTTGTCAGCATTACTTGCTGAAGGAAAAGAAGAAGAAAAAAGAATGCAGAAATTCTAAAGCAACGTGCTAACAACTCGTGTTTTATTGAGTTACTTCTCGGGGCTTTTATGCCTACACTAGAAACAAGTAAACGAAATTGTAATCTTTACCAAGTAGTGATATAAGAGCAACGAATTTAGCTAGGAGAACACGAAATGATGAACAGCATCCTCTTTGGAGAAAAAAGTTTTTCACTAGTAGTTCTTGAATCACAGTTTAAAATTTTTGTTTGCCTTAAAAAAAAAAAACATTTACAACTATTTCAACCGTGTGAAGCCTAATCCAGGTCCTACGATATACAATCGCCACTTACTGTTGTGTATGTGGATGGAACTGTTGGACTTTCGGGAAGAGTTTCTGGACACTACACTCTGATTAGGAGAAGAATCCGTGGACAACTGGTCCCCGTAGTTTTGGGTAACGGTCACCATTGGGTGAATAGAAGCGCTACCTAGCGGAGAGCAAGTAAGAATAAAGCACCTTTTGTAAGTTGTTGAAACGTGACCTTTTGTGTTTCTCACCTTTCGATAAAACACTGGAAGATATTTAGCTGTAAGCAGAGTAATGTTTTCCATACTGATTTTAAAGGTACTGAAAGTTCCTGCTAAAAAAAATGTCCATAAAAATAAGGAGAGAAAAAAAAACAGTTACTAAAAACAACAGTGACGTGTTTTATCTAAACACTTTGTATTTGCACAGACAAAAAGCAAGCCAAACAATGTGCATTTATAATTCAATTTGTATATGTATCAATGATGAGAACATTTATAAAAAAAGTAGCATCATTAAGCTTCAGACACTAATTAAAACACATGCTTAGTTTGGTTCTTGCTCAGCACAAAGCTACACAATAGGCAATCAATGCTCTGCCCACCACGGGTATCGATACTCGAATTTTAGCTTCGTGAGCCTGTAGACCTTACCGCTGAGTCACTGAGGCTAAACGTATATATGTATACATAACAATGGTACTGCCTTATTACACGATTTATTTAGACTACATATCGTTTTTCTTTTTTCTTTTATTTTTTTTTTACTTACCGGACTTGCCCGTGAAGCTGTCACTATCACTGCGATGGTGTCCGAGACTATGCAACTTTTCTGTAAAACCATGGAATCTTTCCGCCAGTCCGTGATATTTATCGTCCTTCTTCTCTGCTTGTCCGGATTTGGCTAGTTCCGGTAAAGAACCACAACCATTGTGTGACGTCAGAGGTGCACAGGCTGTTGTAGACGTCACAGCTGCCACCTTAAAAAAATAAAATAAACAACGGGCTTGGTTGTTGTTTTAGCGCAAAGCTAGACAGTGGGCTATCTGCACTCTATCTGTCATAGGGAATCGAACTTCGGATTTTAGCGTTATAAACCCGTAAACTTCCCGATGACACACCGGTGAACCAAAAGTTTTGTAAACTATACTGAACATTGGCTTACATGATAAATAAAATCACATTATAAATTTGCTAACCAAAAACAACAACTAAAGAATATAAATCAATGTCACAACTACGTGGGGGGAAAATGCCCCACTAACTCTTCGCAGGTCTTGTGGTGGGTGCAAATATTAAACTTTTAAAAAAGAAAAAGTAATAACAGACCGATATAAGAATTCATTATCGTTTTATTATTTTTATATTTGCGTGTTTCTTTTTAAGCGTAAAGCTACACCATGGCTATCGAAACCCGGATTTTTGCCTTATTTCAGACTTACCGCTGAACCACTAGGAATGGGGGTGGGACGTGTTTTTAATCTTTGAATTGTTATTTGTTGTTATCGCGTTCTCAAAGGCCGGCATGGCCAGGTGGTTAGGGCACTCGACTCGCAATCTCCGGGTCGTGGGTTCGAATCCCCGTCACACTAAACATGCTGTCACACTCTGATTGGCGGATATATGGTCACGTGATTTTGACTAACGACATATTATGCAGTTTATAAGGTATGTTAATATATCTTCCGATGTTTTTCCCGTTTTTGCCTGATCTCGTACTATTCCAAACCAAAAAAATCTAACACTAAGTTTCGAAATATGTTTGCCTCGATCACTATGAGTGGCTAGCTACGGCCCTGAAATTTGATAGAGTACCTGTTTTTTCTCAGTTTTAATAGTTTTGTTTGTTTGAAGTTAAGCTACACAATGGGCTATCTATGCTCTGCCCACCACGGGTATCGAAACCCGGTTTCTAGCGTTCTAAGTCCGCAGACTTACCGCTGTGCCACTTGGGGGCACCACCTACATCTCTTTGTATTTAGTCCAACTACTTTCGAAGAAAACAAATTTCTCGATAATAGTAGACCAAGAAATAGTGTAAGTTTGTAACCAAACTAACAAAAAACAAAAGTGTGTGAATACATATATTTAAAAAAAATTAAAGCGTGTTTTTTTTTCTATTTATTCAATCGCAGTTGTTAATTTCAACTTATTATTATTACATAATAAATAATATATCCTGGAATCATTACATTGTTTAAAGTATATACTTATTATCTTATACTTTGTGCCTCAGATGCTTGAATCCGTCATTGAGAAGACATGCGCTAAGCTAGTTAGTTGGTTTACTTATTTTTAGAGTTACACGGAATATGTCTTGTTATCCAACAAATACTGTCGCCATGCGACACACGAAATTCAGGGAAAGGTAGCTAACGAAGTATACCTAATTCTTGACTTTTGAATAACGTAGTTCAAACTCCAATTCGTACGTTATGTTTTAAAACGATAGCTTGCAGCTGGCCACAAAACGACACGACATAGATTTCGAACACTTACCCGTGAGCCACTGTTTTCAGATCTCACCTTGAGAAGACGACCATCAAAACTCTGGGAGTTGGACTGGGGCGATGTTTTTAAAAACGAAAGGAAAAGACGTTTGGATAAATCTCGTGGAGTTTCAATCTCCAAATATGTGTCCAAAAACAGTTGGAAGCCCTCGAGGTCAATATCCTGTAATAATAGAAGTCACTATTGTTGTTAGCAAAGACAGTGATTGTTTTTTAAGTCCCATAACGTAGGTAAATTAATATGTATAATTATGCACGGACTTTTCTCTACGTTAAATACTTTTATTTGCGAGGTTTTGGCCCTCTTACTGGAGCCATCATCGGGCAACATTGTTTATATATTGTTACG